CAAACTGTTTTTCAGTTCATAACCGCCAGAAACTACTACAGTTAACAAATTTGAATCTATACAGTTCAAACAGATCAAACTGTCCAGCATATCTGTTGGAATTCAAGCAGTACTTGTTCAATTCAAAAACCCATCTGTTCACTTCAAATTTTGCACCTGTTCAGGTCTATAAAACCAGATCTGTTCCAGCATTTTTCCAGATCCGAAAATCAGTCTAAAATTTGTATTTTTGCTATCCAATTTTCTCCTTTGCATTATTTATTCTTCATTCTAGTTTTAGAGAAAATTAAAGAGAGTATAGAACACAAGGTTTTAGTTTGCCGGACAAATTTGTTTAGAGTGCTACTACAAATTTGTGAAGATCATTGTATCCCAGGAAATAGACGCCACATAACCATAAGCACCATAGCGGGGCGAATTTGTCTTAAGGACAGAGTGTCACACACTCGACTTGGTCTTTTAATATTCATTCGGCTCGGTTAAAATAAATTCGGTACGTTATTTATTTTATTTGTTTGATTTTGTTTAGATTTATTTATTGTACACAGAAGATTGTTCCAACACAAGCTTCTTCAACAACTTAAGGTGAAGCTCAAGCGGTTCAAATGGCTTGTGCCTTTTCTCAAACCCCTCAATCTCTCGCATGTTCAAGTGGAAAATGACAACCAAAATGTCATTGAGCTGAGTGTTTCTGAGTTGGTGCCTCCATGGGACTGTCAAGCCATCATTCATGATATTTACACCACTAGTTCAGATGCCACATATCATTCCATTGGGCTCCTAGAGGTGCAAATCAGGTTGCTCATTGGTTAGCTTCTCAAAATCTCAAAGGCTTGCTTCCACTGGATTGGGTGGCAAACGTTGTGAATAAGCCTGATTGCACTGGCCTAGCGAGGAGTAGGAAGCATGGACACTGAAGATATGGACTCAAAGATGGCTGCTGGTTCGAAGATTGAAGAGTTATAGTTTGAATACAATTGTTGTTTCATTTAATGCTTTTACATTATGAGTTTTATCTATAAATAGTGTTTTAGGTGTGGGAGTTGAGCAGAAGAATAAGAGAGTTAGAGAGAGTGAGTGTTGGAAAGACGGGTAATTTCCTTTCCTTTTTTGTGTTCTATATTATTTGAGTGAAATAAATCAGTTTTTCTTTTTACAAATTCTCTCTTTTGTGTTTGTTTTGTGAACTCTTTTATCTTCGGATGCTATGTAAGTCTTTTGGCATTTCCAAGTTAAAAAAAAAAAAAAAAAAAAAAAAACTTCCTGCTGCAAATAGTCACTCACTTACCCTCATAATGATATACAAGAGTACATGGAAATGAGCAAATACAGCTCAAAATGTTTGCTACTTGGGACTGCCAAGTCTCAATTGGTCAAAGAACCATTCAATTTGAAACTGAGAAATTGTCTGTATGTTCTACTTCTTTTAGTAGATTGTGGACAGCAGATGAGTCAAAGTAGAGGGGGAGAAGTTGTTAGCCAGTATGTGTTTTGGCAGTCTTGAGATGTATATTACAAATTGATTTTATTAATATTTTATTGAAATATATTCTATAGTTCATGTAATTATAATATTACTATTTATGTTAAGATTAATATTTTTCAGGGCATTTGGTTCATAAATCTAGATTTTAGGTTCCAGTGATTCACACGTTAAACACTTAAACCCATGAAGACACAGTTTTGTAATAGATTTTAGGTTCCAGTGATTCACACGTAAAACACTTAAACCCATGAAGACACAGTTTTGTAATTTGTGTTGGTGGGAGGAGACTTTTAGAACTACTTATGAGAGCAACTCTAAGGGTAAGAGGCAAAATGTCTTGTAAAAGTATATAGGAAGATAATTTTTATTTTGCATAACTAATAAGTCAGTTCTCTCTAAAAAACTCTCTCAAAAAACTCTTTCTAAAAACCTCCACCTCGGGGCCTCACCGCTGGCCGGCCGGCCGCCGCCTTTGGTCATGGCGGTCGGCTAGCCTATCTTTTTTCTTCTTGTGTTCTTGGGTTTTCTCCTAATAAACTTGAGCCCCTTTAGTTTTCTCTTTATCCTTTTCAGATCTAATCTCTAGATTTGCTTAGGTTGTTGTTTTGGTTATTTCGTTTTTGTGTAGCCTCCTCCTTTGGTGCCCAAGATAGCTTTGATGGGTGATTTTGGTGGGTTTTTCTCTCGATTGGAAAGGATCGGTGGTAGTGGTGCTTCAGCCATGGTGTTTCAGCTTCAGCAGTGGGTCTTGGTTTAGGTTGGGAGCGTTGAACAGAGGTGGGTTGGTTCAGGAACTTCATTCGGGCACTTCTTTGCGAGCAGGAGTTTGAGGGGTGGAGGATTTAGAGCTGTTTAGGATCTCCATTCGAGCGCTCCTGTGCGAGTGGGAGTTTGAGGGGTGATTTCCGTTCTTTTCTATGGTGGTCGGTGTCCGTGTTCGGTTTTGAGGAGATTGGCGCTGGTTAAACAAAGAGGGGACTGCCCAGCGTTGTTTGGTGAGGTTTCAATCGAAGGAGTTTGTTTGGGTCACGGAGGAGATCCAAAGGAGGAGGCTGCAGCAACTGAAGTAGAGGAGAGTGAAGCAAGTAGAGGCTGTCGTTGTTCAGCGGTGAAGCAGAGTTGTTTCGGTCCCGGGTGGTTCTCGATGGTGAAGCAAGAGTAGTTTCGGTCACGGGTGGTGCAGGGTGCTCGGCGGCATTGGAGCCTGAGGGTCCGACAGTTTGGAGGTTGAGTGTCTGTCATTGGTGCAGGGTGGGTGGGTCAGGCGTGGGGCTCAAGTGTGTAATAGTGCTTGAGTCAGAGTGTGGTTTGGGGTGTGTAGCTGTGTTTTAGGTGGGGGCTCATGATTGTGGTTTTTTAATTTATTTTGTTTGTTGTTTTTTCAAATTTAAAATCGTGAGGCTAGGGGTTGGTTGTAAGAACGCGAGTAGCAGTAGTAGGAGAGTGAATTTTTACTCTTCGAATCTCTCTCAGTGCGTTTTATTTCCTTGAACCTGTAAATTTCATGTTTTTAATGAAATTTTTCTTTGCCGATCAAAAAAAAAACTAATAAGTCAGTGTTTACTCTAATTATACTCTTTATTTTAGCTAATCAATCAAACTTACTTAACTAATTTTTGGAAGAAAAATATTATAAACACGGATAAATGAACAAATATTTTTTTTATGATATGCTGCATATGTTGACGTGGTATTTGTAAATATATATTTTTAAATATGTAATTAAATTATTTCATTTAAAAAAATGTATTAAATTATTTGAAAAAATATATTTTCAAATGGTAATATAGAAACACAAAACCAAATCAATTGGATGCAATATACAAACACAAAACCAACCAAAAGAAGAGTATTTGATCAGATGGAAGAAGCAATTTCAATGGGAAACTTTTTTCCCTCTCAATAAAGGCTAGCTTGTTGTGGAGAGCCAAAATCAAAATGGACATTTTATGCATAGCCCCTTGGAGAAGGGAAAGAACCAATTGCATTAGTAAAAATGTCTCAGGATGCTCTTTTGCCCACTCCCTTAGAGATGCTCTAATAGTCTAAAACACACTTAGAGAGAGGAGTTTTTGGTTTGCTAAACTCAAACACAAATTTATTTTACTCGATAAATTTTTCTAAAACAAAAAACAAAAAAAAAAAGAAAAAACCACACCAAGAAGAAATGCTTCTCTTTTCTCTGTCAAACACGCTATGTAATTCTCTCTTATTTCTTCTCTCCCTCCCACACTCTTTAATTATCGAATACAATACTTATATATATAGACTAGCGGTCGGCACACATAATGTGTGTGCAATTTAAATAAATAAAAAATAAAATAAAATATTTATTATATATTGCTTGTCACTCAAGTGGTAAGAGTCTTCTTCATTAGAGTCAAAATCAAATGTCTGAATCCCACTCTTCCCATTCATCTAATTTTTCTTTTTTTTCTTTTTTCTTTTCTTTTTAAATAGAAAAATGGATACTTGGCAAGTGGGCAGCATAAGGAGAGAAGGTTTTGTGACTTTGAAAATGTTACAAGCCAATTTGTGTTATAAAATCTTAATCATTATTTTGTGATTTGAACTTGATTTAGTTGTTAAATTTCTAATTTTTAATTTTATTTATATTTAATTTTTTTTCTTCATATTAGTCAAATTGACTACCTACCCTGATTTGGCAGTATTAGTTGTTAATCAAATCATAAATTAACTATGAACCAATATGTATCTCATCCTTAAACTAATTTGGGGCAATGTTGCTCCACCTAAGGCCCAATTCCTTAGTTGGCTGGCTTGGAGAGAAAGGGTGAAAACTACAGAATCAACAGTAGTGTTGTTAATGAGTGTCCATTCTGCAAAGCTAGTGCTGAGAATGTGAACCATATCTTTGTGTTATGCCCTATGATCTGGAGAGTATGGTCAGAGATGCTACAATGGTGGGATGTGCAGTGGGCATCACCTGTTACTGTGGAAGGTGTTTCTGTTCTGGTGGAGGGGAGTTAAATTCAATAAATCAATCCAAAAAATTTGGAAACTTGTTCCTGTGGCATTGCTATGGTCAGTATGGAGGTTGAGAAATAATTGTGTGTTTAACAACTGGCAGCCCAACATGGCTGAACTTGTGGAGATTGTGAAAGTGAGGGTTGATCTTTGGGCTAAGTCTAACCTAAAGGAGATTTCTTATTCAATGCATGATATTGTGGAGAATCTTAGTCAGATTAGGCACAGCTAGCTGTGGTGAAGTTGCTTGCCCTGTGCTGCTGCGGCGTTGGTTGCTGCTGCTTGGGTGTGTTGCTTTTGTGTTATGCTTGGTTGGTCCCTCACCAACTGGGGTTGGATGCTATCGTATGATTGGGCATGTTCTTTGCTGTCAACTTAGTTGAGATTGTTGAGCTATGCTATGATGATTTGTGCATTCTCCCCTCTCCCTCTATTGATGTAATACTCTTATACTTTATGTGATAATTTCATCAATAAAGGTTTCTTTGTTCACTAAAAAAAATATATTGCAACTTGAATAGAGTAATACACATTTAATTTTCATTCTCGTCGATATGTTGGAGTGTATCCATAATAAAAGATAAAAAAAAACAAAAAATACATATCAACTAATATCTGAAAGGGAAAAAAGAATGACACCCATAATCTAAAATAATGGTGGAAACTTTAATCAAAAGACTTTGTTCCATTATTATTTATTCATTTAGACTGAAGGTTGAAGACAAAAGCTGTAATTAAACATATTTCTTGATCACAGCCAATCAAGCTGCCCTTTTCTAGGCACCATCCTCTGTTTTAGTAATTGGAATTGAGTTTTGATGATCAGTGTTGCTGCTGCTTAGACACAAGTGACCTATATAACAAAGGCACTTCCCTTGGATACATTCATTGCATGTAGGACCACATGGATTGGTTTCAGCTACCTCTGCTAAGCTCCTCCCATATGCTTCAGGCACTCCTAAAAACACATTTTCCTTTTCTTAGTCACGTCATTTCATTTCATTTTATTTTATTTTTGATAAATTATATCATTAATTGCGGTAGTTTAGGTGAACTATAACCTTAATTCCGTAGTTTTAATTGAATATATAGTTTGAACCTTACACTTTTAGGAAAACTAAATTAGGAAGCTATTAAAAAAAGAAAAAAAAAATTAACCATTGGTAATCAATAATATCTAAAAGGGAACGTATTAATTTTTTGTAAAACAAGAAACATAAAATAGAAAAACTAATTTAGGAAACTTAATAATTTTACACTATTCTATAGTATTAAACTAGAATATTCCAAATTAAATATTAATTTTAAAATAAAAATTATAGATTTTCTAAAATCTTGGCTGCACTGCATCAATATGATATACATATTTTAAGGGATCTTGTACCACAGAATTTTTAAACAAAAGATAAATTGTGTTTTTTATCCTACAATTTGATTGAAATTTCAATTTGATCCCTGTTATATATTTCAATTTGAACAATTGAGATCCTATAGTTTCAGTTCAGTTTGAAATGAAGGAATTGTAATTGGACTAAAAATATAAAAATCAAATTATTCAATTTGAAATAGTCGAGATGAAAGTGAATTTAAATCAAATCACAAGGGTTAAAAGTGCAATTTATCATTTTAAAAATTATATATACACTAGTTATTTAAGAGAAAGATAGAGATACTAACCAGATGAAATGACCAGCAGAAAAACCAGCAAAGCCGAGTAGATGAATGAAGACTTCTTCATAGTTCTCTATAGCAACTCCTTCTATACAATTTCTATGGTGTAGTGTCTGGTTTCTCTACACGGGTGACTATATATATATATATTATATGGAGATATGAAACTGAAGAAATAAATGCTTGCTGATTTTTGGCATCTTGGTGTAATTAATCAAACGAGATTTTCATTGATAAATATAGAGTCCGATTGTTCACACACCGCTGAGATTCTCAAGAGTCAGATCTGAACTGGAAAAGCACTGTCTCCATTCGTGGGACCCATCACGGATACCCTTTTAAAAATTTAAATTGATTATTTTTTTGAAGTTTTAAAAGGATAAGTGTGTATTTTTAAATAAACTATTTATTTTTTTAAGACAAACGGGATAAAAATAAATAATAATGCTTGGGACCCGCTTTTGGAGGTCACCCCCTTTGCCACGTGGCGGGTGGTGATTGGAGGAGCAGGAAAAAAAAGAAAAAGAAAAAGAAAAGGTAACCAATGAGAGAGAGGGGGTCAAAGGGGGTGAGAGGAAAAGGGGGGATGAATCATTGTTGAAAAATAAATATGTAATAATTATTGAATCGACCTAATTTAAGTTATTTTATTTTATAAATAATATACACAAAAACCTCTAAAAAAAATTAAAAAAAAATTTAATTATCAAAACAAAATATATAATAAGTTTCACAGATACAAACATCTCCAATCCCGTTCACACACTATGTGGTTGATAAAAAGTAATAAAATTAGTTCATTCAGACGGAGGTCTTCAGTCTACAAGAAAACTTTTAGGATTAAACAGTGTATAAGTTATTAATTTGGGATTTATTGGTGCATCCCCCTATAATTTTTGGATACGAGACCCGTATTTTATACTGATCAGAATCTATATACTGTTTATACAATCTAAAAATGTATGAACAAATATCATTTTCAATAAATGCATTAGGTTGCAAATATATTATGAAGAAAAAAGATTGAAGCTCTTACATAAATTCCTCTACTTCACTTATAATAACATAAACTGTTGTATGTCATTTGACATAAAAAAAAGATATCAAACTCTTCTCAATAATTACTTAAGAGGTTTGATGGGAAAAGAAATAAAATGGAGAAAACGAGATTTATCATTACTTATTTGAATGGTTAATGAAATAAGAAATGGTGAGAGAGACAAATCCCTAAAAATTTAAGTTTTGCTTTTCCCAAAAAATAAAAAGATTTAATGAGAAACTAAAATTACTCTTTATAAAAAAAATTATAATATAGAGGGTGTTTGATAACCGAATTTAACACTTGAAATTGAATGTATTAAGTGATAATCAATTAAGTCCGTTTAATAATCACAATTTATATTATTTAAAAATTTAAGTGCCTCTTAAAATGTAGCTGAAATTTAAAAAAAAAATTAATTATATGAAATTTAGTTAATTATGACTGAATTTATAAATACGAAACATAAATATCGATACACTACTATAAATTTACCACCACCACTACTACCACCATCACTATCACTACTATTGTCGCCACCACCACCAGTACTATCACCACCTTTATCACTATTGTTATTGTTGCTATAAGCACCATCATTATTTAATTACCACTATCACCACCACCACTATAACGCTACCGCTATTATTACCACTACCATTACCACCGCCATCTGCCATCACCATCACAACTGCCACCATCTTTATCATCAGTGTTATTATTGTTATAAGCAACACTATCATTTTACTACAACTACCATCGCTACAACCATTACCATCAACGCTACTGCCGCTGTCACCACCACTGCTACCACCCGCCGCCATCACAATATAAAAATTGAAATATATAATTTGAAAATAGTAAATTTCAAATTTGATCTTATACGTATCAAATAATTTATTTTTTATTCAACAATTAAATTTTTATCAAACAATTTTCTATCTCAAAAAATTCAGCATTCAATTTTCATTATTTAATTTTTAAATCTCAATTTTCAGTTTTATCAAACACCACCTACCCCTCTAAATACAAAGCAAATAAAATAAAACAACATGCATATCTTCTTTTAATCATTATTTATTTTAAAAAAAATCACAATTATTTTCTTTATTTTCTCACCTCATAATTCAAATATAGTATAAGAGTGAAGTTTACAGTCTCACACCACAAAATAATGGTATATAATTAGTAAGGCAAAGGCTCTAATTACTCTCTTCCATGTTATTGTCTTCCATTTTATTGTAGATGAACTATGAGGCTGTTTGTTTTTAGAAATAGAATGGAGAGAATTTATAATGAAGAGATTAATAGTGAGAAGATTGTTAGTAAATGGATTGATTGTGAGAAGATAAGTAAATTTGTGTTTATTTTGATGATAGTTGTTGTTGTAGGGATTGTTAAATTATTTTTATATAAAATAATAAAACAAATAAAAAATACAAAAACATTTAACATTAATGTTCAAAAAAAATGTCCAACATGCAAAAAATAAAAAAATAAAAAATTCCAAAAAAAAATAAAACAAATAAAACAATGATTTTTACTTAACAAAAAATACAAAACATTAAACAATAATGTTCAAAAAAAATAAAATAAAAAATAACCAACATCTAAAAAATTTTAAAAAAAAGTTCGGCAGACCAAGTGCTGGAGGCCCATTCGAATTCTCTTCTCAAGGGGATTCATAATCCGGAGGGGATTACAAATCTCCTCTCCGTCTCCCAAAACAAACACAAAGATAGTAGATCCCACCTCACTATCAATCTGAATCCCTTCTCTATAACTCCAAATAAACGGGGCCTAAGTTTTAAATTATAAGAGCCTAACATTTCCGTATTCCTCGCACAAAACACCATCACAATGAAATCAACCCACCGACAATAAAAGGGAATTGCGTATACGTCTTAATAGGTGAATTTGTTGTTCAATAAGTCTTGTAAAAATTAATGATATTTTTCATCAAACACTATTTAAAAAGTCACTAATTATTTATTTTTAGCAATAGTTTGAAATTTTAATCACAAAAAATGTCACTAATTATAAGTTTTAGCAAAAATTTTAAAAAACCATCACTAATTTTCAAGTTTCAGTAACAGTTTAAAAAATTCGTCCCAAAAAACGTCAATAATTGTAAGTTTTAACTAAGAAAGCTACTAATTAATAATTTTTAGTGACATATATAAAAAATCGCCATACAAAATTATTTTTAACGATAATTTTATTAAGATTTATTTTTAATAAGACTTAATAAAAATTTAGTCTAACTATTAAAATTCATTAATAGTTTATCAACCCTGGGAAATTGCCACGAAAATAAAGAGAATGGTGGGTCATCATGATCACCAAGGATCCTCTAGAGTGTTTTTTTTTTAAAGTGGTGTATTGTGTGGTTGAGATTTAATGTTGAAAAATTGATGTGACTTGTCATTAAATCTCAACCACACAATGCACTACTTTAGGAAATTTTAGGAAAAAAAAACTCTAGAGGATCCTTACTCCATGATGATATGTTTAATGGTGGATCATGATGATATGTTTGTCAATTTTACAACAAAGGTGATTATGATTGATTGGTTTTTAGAGATAAGTATATATGTTTGTCAAAAGTGAAAACCAGAACATCATATTTTTTTGTGTGTGAATTTGTTCACAGTGTGAACGAATATACTTGTCAATTAGTGGAATGAATGGAATATGAACAAAGCATACTTGTCAATTAGAGGAATCAATGGAATAATTTTAGGAAAAATTGACAAATAAAAAAGTATGTTTTCTTCACACTATTTAAACAATCTACTCCATATTTTTAGTCAAAAATCATATTTGATAATTTTAATAACAACATTATAAATTCAGACTTATGGATTTAAAATTAATCCCAAAAAAAAAAAAATGATTTAAGGTTATTTTATTCATAAATTTCACACTTCATCAATTTAATTTTTACAACACAAATATATTCAAAATAAATTATGTGTTGATAAAGGTGAATTCAAAGCATTTTTATTCTAATACTATAAGAGGACAATCTAATTTTATGAACTACAAAGGAATCCTTACAATAGTAATTGTCAAAAATTGGACTGGGAAGGAGTACCGATACAGTAGCATTTACGGTGCTTTTATACTCCATGGTATACTGGTATTGTCGCTACAACAAATTAAGTTTTTAGAGATAAAAATTTATGAATAAATTACTGATTAAATATTTTTGTTATAAAAAATATCATTATTATATTTTTAACAAAGAAATTAGACATTAGTGATGAATTATTATTATTTTGAAACAAAAAATTTAGCAAAAATGTTAGAGACTTCAAAAATTCTACCAAATGTCTTACATGGATGTGCGACACACACAAAATAAGTTTTATGTAAAAATTAGCCCATAAGTTCAAATTAAGTTGAAATTTTGTACCTATTTAATATTTGGGTTGAGATTGGGATATACATAATTTTGGGCAAGTTACGTGTAGGTCAGTGGGTCCCACCTCCAACGTACACTAACAATGTTTTGGTGAAACTGACCCATCTCCTAAATCTGGTAAAACTTTTGTTCCGTTCTCAATTTGATATCAGTTTGGTAAAACAATAGGAGAGAGAACAAGTGGCTTTTTTCATCAAATTCAAATCTAATGCTAAATCAGATGCAACATTGGAGATGTGAAAATTGCTGGCCGGCCACCCAAAAATGTGGTCTCTCATGTGTGCACAACAAAAATATGTGGTCAAAACCCAGAAAATGTGAACCAGGAGAGAGAAAAGCCAACTTTTTAGAGCCATCTTGATTAACTTTGATGCGTTTTCACTAAGTGAATGATTCAAATCAAAAGATATCTTCATTTATGCATAAATTTTCCTAATCTATCCAAGTTGTTATAAATGCTCTACTTTTAAAATCATATTTGTTCATTTATTTTAAGATAAAAATAAGAAAATTATGTGACTAATGTTATTAGATCAATCTTTCTCACACCCATGTGGGTCCCATTTGGATCTTACACAAAGTGGGTCCCAGTTGGTTGAATTTTTAGAATGTCTAGTATTACTCAAAATTTAAGGAGAAAAGTTAGGGATTATAAAAGAGTTATGATCCTTGGATTACCTGATTAGTGTGTGGTGCTTTATTTTAAGTGTAATCTAAGAGTCATAAAGCTTTCATAATTATTTTCATAAAAGGTTTTTATGATACCTAACA